CTGGGGTGAATAGGCTTTAGGACTGTGCTTGTCCCTAACACAGCGAACACACGCAGTACCAGATGGGGTCATTCTGACAGTCATGCCAGGGAACCTCTCATGGAATGGACATGTGGATGATGAAGCTGAGGAAGTTGCGCAGAAGACATGGGACTCTCATGACGGTGTCTATCACGCTGACGCCTTGCTTCAGTCTCTTGCGGAGTTTCACATGCAATTCTTAGTTGCTGGTTAGTGCTATCCCTTTGCAGGCGGACCTCACTCTGACTACTAGACTCACTAGCAATTCTCTGTTCTTGATTGCTGCGAAGCTCCTGAAGGCGGATCTCTCTCTCTTCACTAGACTCACTAGCAATTCTCTGCTCTTGATTGGTCAGTAGCTGCTGCAGGCGAACTGCTCTCTCTTCGGCAGATTCAGCAGCAATTCTCTGATCTTGATTGATACGTAGCTGCTGTAGGCGCGTCTCTCTGTCTTCAACACGCTCGGCAGCAATTCGTCTTGCCTGGTAACTTCGAAGCTGTTCCAGCCTAGCCTCTCCCCTTTCTTCTGATTCAGCAGCACGTCTAGCTCTATCTCTCACACGACGTTTCGCTAGCCTCGCCTCCCTCTCATCTGCTGTCTCTGTAGCGAGGCGTTCCCTTGCCTGTTGTCGACCTCTGGCTAGTCTCGCCTCCCTGTTTCCGTTACGAGACGTTGTCTCGCCCGTTCTCGATCTCCTAGTCGGCGTCGAGAAAGACGAGCCTCTCTCTCTTCAGCACCTTCATGGGCACGCCGTTCTCTGTCTGTTTCTCTTCGAAGGAGACTATCCTCCGCGCGGATGATTTCGGAGGCAACTCGAAAAGAAGATGGAGAAAAAATTCCGCACTGTAGCGTAATATTAACGCATGCGCACTAAGACGACGTAAGGTAGGTGCGCGTGCTTGGAGTGGTTGCTGAGTAGATGAAAAGCACTGAAGTGCAAACCCTCGACGCACTGTGACGCGCACGCGTAAGTAAACGCATGCGCCGTACCACTAATTGATGGGCTGGGTTTAGTTTAGCTGTTACTCGTGGTCTCTTGCCAGCTCGCGCAGAGTCTGACGCAGGCTAACTACACTACTAGATAGCATGCGAGAGGCGATACACGCCCTGCGTTGCATCTTCTGGTGCCTCCGAAGTACGCAGATCACGCGGATCGATCCGACTGTGGTAAGCCGTTCTATATTTGCATATTGGCTTTTTCGCGCTCTAGCTTTGCAACGGAGCATTTTCAGAGAAAACCGCCTTTATTTTCTGACCTTCGTCGCCGGTTGGGTAGATGGTATCGTTTCTGGGACGAACAGACGTTCGAGGAATGAGATGTAGAGTAACAGACAAACAAACAAACAAACAGACTAGGGGTGCGGAAATTATGCCGGGCATAATTAGGGAATTTTTTGGGGCTGCTCGAATCCGAGAATATACAAGGAAGGCGCACGCGGATATTTTTCCTCGCCAATGTCCGATTGAGGCTGCTCGTGCGCGCGGTCTACAGACTGCGCGCGAAGCCAGTCAGCGCGCACGGCGGAAGCTAGACTTCCTACGAATGACAGAAGTTACACTTCCTTTTGGTGACTAATTGACATTCCTAAGCGTGATTAATTGACGACGTACATACGGCAATTATATACTGTGCTCAAAATTTCAAGCATAATTTTGGTAAAAATAGGAGCATAAATTGCACATAATGGAAGAATCGAATAAAATTCAGTATAATTTCCTCAGCCCTAAGACAGACCCAACTACTTTACCCTCGCTGCGCATGCGCGCCGAGGGTAAAAATACGGCAGCCTAGTGTGCACGGCTAAAGACAGACGGGAGTCGGCAGACGGCTCAACAGTCACGTAGCTTGCTAAGCTGGCCTGTTAACTGTCTAGTTTAGAATCTATAACCAGCATCCATAGCACACACGGGCCGGAGTTTTCACGGTGGAACGACCTGTCTAGTGACAGAACGACGGTACATGCAAAGATGGCGCACAGAAGTCAAAGCGTTTCTTCTGATACCTCACTTACGCCAATATCTACCACGACAAGTTCGGCCTGAAGTCTACTCAGCCCGGTAGGGCCGATAGAAGCGTCAAACTGCACGCTCTCACTGCTCTGGTTGGCTAAAAATTTCCCGGGAAAATCCCGTAACGTGACGTCATATTAGTGCGCGGACAAGAATACGGAAACAAGCCAGAGTCGATACACGCCATTCGTTGTGCCTTCAAGATAGACAGAGCAAGCGGACCCGGTCGAGGTAAGCCTGTGCCTATAAAAGCGCATGCGCATTTTCCGCCAGCGATAAAATGGCGACTACCGGCATTAGCCATACAATGCTGGAAGCGCTCTAGCTCTGCAACGGAGCATTTTCAGAGAAAACCCCACATATTTTCTGACCTTCGTCGCCCGTTGGGTAGATGGTATCGTTTCTGGGACGAACAGACATTCGAGAGGTGAGATGTAGAGTACAAACCCCCAACTACAGTAACCCTCGCTGCGCATGCGCGCCGATGGTTAATAAGCGCTGTATCAAGCACATTACAACGATTCAAAAAAGCTACTTCACAAGAATGCGGCGTAAGGTTGGTTTTTGCGTGCACGGTCACATATAGACAGAAAATTCGAGCCGAAGACACGACTAGGTGGGCTCGCTCCGCTCGCCCAATAATACGCATTGGGAAAGTCATTTCTTTTCTGCGCATTTGCAGGTTTTTGGAATATGTTTCTGCGCATGCGCATGTTTTATGAATCATCAGAGCAAAAGAAAGTCAGACTACTCCATCAATGGAAGGAGGGAGAGTAGGATGTCTATGCATCCACAGACTGGTGTTTCCTCGCCACAGGGCTGTAGCAAGATGACCAAAAAGGTGTTTCGTCCTGTCCTCAGGGTTGGTGGAGTTCTGTCACCTGGGGCACGACCTATTGAGCGAATGGTGGAAATAGCATCAGGGCACCAACCCCCAAGTGTCTCTACTACAATGGGGTTAAATCAACTCCGGCTAAACGGCAGGCAGGAAGGTTGGAAGTCAGCTTCCGTCGGATCCCAAAACCTAGGGCATGGCCAGGAGAATATGCGGCTTCAGCCAGAGTTAGCTCCTACAGTGGGGAAATAACATCGACATCCAGGGCGGCTGATCTTCCATTGCCCCAGTTCGGGAGAAGAATATCTGCTGGACGGGAGCTGGAGCCGGGTACTAGGTTGGGGGCAGCAGACTGGGCTGCGCTGAAAAGCACATCCATTGTGGCGAGCAACACGATCACCATTGTCTCCACAGCCAACTTGGTGATCCCCAAATGTTCCATGTCACTCTCGACAAGTGTAAGAGGCACTGTGGAGGTACCACATTCAGCCAATCACCAGGATGGGGCAGCCCAGTAGGGCACGAGACCGAGTGTCCGGTGCCGATAGGAGGAGGCGTTGATGTGCTGCCTCATCGATAGCATGGGAGAGTGATCGCTGATGAAGGGGGGGTGTCAATGTTGTCAAGGTCAGACTAATCAGGGCGAGTGGCAGCCATGGCGAGGGAAACAAGGATAGACGTGGAATGAGGGCCGAGACCCGTGGAGCAATGCAAAACTCACTATCGGTAAACTCTGGGCAGATGAGGCGAGGAAGGTGGCAGGAGCATGGAGAAAGGTACTTCGGAGATTGAGGCTCCCAAGGCTGCTGGGGATGGATGCTTTAAGCCACGACCAGTCAGACACAGCCCCTAGCTCCAAAACCTCGCAGATAGCACTGTCGAAATCTTTAGCGGCGTGGCGTGGCAAATGTGGCTGATTGGGCAGGTACAAACAATAAAAGTGACCTTGGGAAACGACAGGCACGAGAGGTCTCCATCTGAGAGTTACCATCCCATCGAGAGCCCATCCTCTTCAATGATGTGGAGGGCGGCTGCGAGGTCCCGGTGAGATCCCATTAGGGTACCATCATCGAGGTACCAAGGCCTCAGACCTGATGCGTTCGACAATAGGGTAGAAAAACCAACTGGCCCCAAACGATCCATCCATGCTGACAAAGAAGGGATGCGCCGCCGAAACCCTGCAAACATAGCTCCTCTGTCGACGTTGTTGAAAGCATTGCAAAAATGCAGCAGGAGAGTCCAACGGTATGTTGAAGCCATCAGAATGAACAACAGCATCACAGCCTCCCTTGACTCCTACACCCAGCTGTAGGGGAGCGAGTGCATTTAGAGCCCCCTGACGGGTGACAGTGGAGAGGGTCTTAGAGGTGAGTCGTCTGGGCGGCGGCGGGGGACTGGGGCGTGGGAGAGGGAGACTGTTATGGCAGGTGTTGGAGTCTCCTGGCAAACAACATGAACAGGGCCTGTTAGATCTCACGCAGTTTAGCATTTGCACATTTTTTTCACTTCTCTACATCGTTATTGGGTTTTGGCTTTTTTAGAAATGCGTTTATCCTGAACATTTGCACTTTTTTTTCACGTTCGTATTTCAGATCCCAGTCTGGTCCTAAATACTGAGGAGCGTATACTGTACAGTGGTTTGAAGTTTGTCTTCTTTTGTTGTATATCAAACCAGGTAGCTTTGACTGCGGGTTCGAATCCCACCCATGGCAGCTCTTCTTTTCTTTTAACTGTCCTTGGTGTAGTTGACTTGTTTGCCTTGCCTTTCTACCTCGTTACCAAGTTGTTGAGACATGCAAGCAGTGTACACACCGAAGCAAAAAAATCGCTAGCGGCGACAGGTGGTTGCTAGGTTCTCACGGGAAGCGACGAAACTCGACGAAGTCCCCTGTAAAACGCAACACCAGAGCAGCCAGCGCCGTTCTATCCCGGCGGGAAAAGCAGCTGCTTTTTCGCTGCGGGACATGGCTATCTCTCTGCACCACAACGCAAGCAGTCGCTCCCGAAAGAGATACATGAAGTATAGCAGGGTCTCAGTAAGTCTCTGGGCATGATTTTTTTTTACACAGCGAATCGAGCTGCGTTTTGTGCGAGTGATTTAGTCCAAAGCCCGCACCTCCTTTTACGTTGCGCATGGTTCAAAGGTCACGCGTAAATATGATTTGTGGGGATGAGGGAGAAGGTCTGGGGTCGAGGCTAACGCCTACTCCCACGGAAAATATAGAGTCCTCTGCTGTTGTCAAGATTCAGGTGCATACCAAAAAACTGCCGCGGTTTATTGAAAATTAATTTCTTTATCCACAGAGGGCTTTTCGAAACTTTCTAGGAAAGAAGAAAGTTGTGTCCCAGCTCAGGTATTCTATAAGTTTGTTGAAGCGATTGCTGAAGACTGTTTGTGAATCTTTATATACCAAATGGTCCCTTTGAGCTGAAAAGTAGGGCATGACCATGCACTTAGCCACTCCGAAGGGAAAGAGTCTGCAAGTTGTCTGCATTCCCTCATTGCTTTTTTTAATAGGGGTGCATCATGACACTCCTTCCAGTTCAACCTTTTGTATCCCCTCGGCCTCTAGCACAGCCTTCTTTGCTGACAGTCATGGCTGACTACAAGAACACCACCCTGTTCCTTCAATCGCAAGGCCCTCCACTCTGCTCTACCACTGCTTTTCTGTCGTCACTACCACCAGGGCTTTTCCATCCTTTGAGATAAGTTTGAGTTTTGGCCTTATCGCTTGAAACAAGGAATGAGGGCAGTAGATAATGTGTTCAGAATTCAGAGAATATATAGGCTACAGGTAGTTCCCTTTATCAGTCAGACACTGGTAAGGTAAAGGCAGTGGCTAGGGCCTCCTATCATGCTGACCCTGGTAGCCCAGTTCAAGAAAAATATTGCTGATGGGCTACTTTATGGAAGTAATTCAGATGGACTTCACCTGTTGTGGGAAGGATACCGGGATTTGCCTGGCAGGTGGGGCTCTGAAGTGTTTTTTCCTGCCCTTATCACCACCGCTGATTTGTACATTCCTGCACCCTTATCCCACTGCTGACCTAGCCTTTGTTGCACTACACCAACTCCTATCTTAGACTAGTCTCGTGCCCAGACCCTCACGTGCACCCGAAAGAGTGTCTGGTAAATAAGGTCCGATTTCTTGGTTATGCTAAGTCAGCATGTTTGGAAAACGTGTAACCCAATCAGATTGCCGGATTTAAAACTATCATGTGACATGAAGGCAATCGCAATGCCGACCCGTTATGTGCATGCGCATTGCAACAGAATTGGAGAGCTGACCAGAAGATAATCACATGACTGACAGGTTGAATTATGCAGTTTGCCTGCACATGTTGATTCAGCACAACCAAGAAATCGGACCTTATCGGCACAAATCTCCACCCACGCGTGCATGAACCCTAATACGTGCAGCCCCTCGCTGTGCACCGTGAAAAGGGGGAGGCTGAGCGTGCTAAAAAAGTGAGTGTAACAAGTGGTGAAGGGGGATGTAGGCATCGCGTAAATTATGAAGAACAATACCAACAAGAAAGATACTTCCGCTGAAAACAAAAATCACACATCCATCCCTACATCTTTATTGCTCACAACCTCAAGTGTGATTTGTTATGAATTTGTTTACCTACGCCAATAACGATTGCCTACATGTTCATAGACAGAGCTAAAGAAAGAGAGATGTACGTAGGGATGGATGTGTGGTTTTTGTTTTGAGCTGAAGCATCTCGTTTTTCATAATTTACGCCATCCTTACATCCCCCTGCATTTTGAAAAATTGATTTTTCTACCTGTACCTACTAGTGTTGCTGCTTATCTGACTCAGTGGGGTAAAACTGTTTTAGAGACACTTCGGGCGAGTAAGTAAGTGGAAGGAGGTCACTTCCTAGAGTGAAACCTCCATAATTTGCACCCCTTGGTTCAATTTACAGACTATCCTCATAAAAATAATGTCTGGAGTTGTGCTATTGCATAAACCCTCATGTATGGGCATACACACAGCCTGTTTGCACTCTCACTAAATATGTACTCGCTCTACCATAGGCCAGGTTGTGTCTGAGGCAATTCAAACCCCTTCTGATTTCTCAGTAGAGTGCCCACACCGAAATCAATGGGACGCAATTGTCATTGATAACTGGGTGTGGTGCCATGGACGATTTTGGTGGGCATCCTATGAAAGTTTAAGGGAATTGAATCATATTGCAAGTAGTTTGAGGTTTGCCTTTGTCTTTTGTTGTAGATTCAAACCCCTACCTGCTGATAGCTCGGTTGGTTAAGCAATTGCCTGGAGTGCAGTGTTGTGGTTTAGAATCCCACCTAGGGCAGTTCATTTTCCTAGGTGTACCTTTGATCGTGTGGATGACTCACACACATACACAAAGTAGATGTCGACAAAACAGGACCGTGTAATTGTGTTGCAAAGGTATGTCAACACTTAAACACTCGCTGATATTGCGTGCCTAACCTGTATATTATGCTACATGCATCATAACATCGAGGAGTATATTGTGGGCATACGCCCACAGACAGCCTTTTGGGGGCCTTGATCTCAACCCTGCCTTGCCAGGGCTAACCATGCGCACATATCGTAATCACAGTGGCCCCACTTAATATGTTTTATTGGGTTGAGTGCAAGTATGCCCCACCCTCCCTATGGACTTGATGAACTTGAACATACAGTATGCGTATTTAATGTATCGCAAATTCTTTTGTTATACCGCCTGTGTCTGTACCGTCTTGCCCGTTGTATGTAATTAAACCGCCATCGTGCACCAGCTAACGTGTTTTTTACAAGTTCAAAGTATGCCCTTATTGTTGTATCTGTGTTTAAGTCCTTCTGAAGTCCTGATTTGTTTTCTTTTCTTTCTTTGTACGTAATGTATATAGTGTGGGCTGTTTAGTTTTTAAGAACCACCTACATTTGATGGTCTGGTGTGAAGAGTCTGTCAACACCCAGTTGAACCACGAAGAGGCAGAGGCAAGTCAGACCTGAAGTCTGCCTATTCACACGTGGTGGTGGGCCACTCTCATATCAATTATATATGGCGTAGGAATGTCCGCCCCGGCAGCTCCACAAAGGGCGCATGGCTGAGGTGGCTGACCAGCTACTGGAGTTCCTGCTTTATTGCTGCACGGCTATTGAGGATGGCGTCATTTACACTCATACCCCGGGGGAGGGTGGGAGCTTCTGGATGGTAAGGAGCCTGATGTACGAGGGGTTTGGAGTGGCGGAAGCAACGTGAGCCTTGGCAGGAAACAGTGTCCTCTAGAGCTTGTAGGTCTGGCCAGTGTTTGTACTTGCCTGCAACAGGCTGGAGCAGAACATCTGTGGTTATAGTGGAGGGAGAAGAGGGAACTTTAATTTTTAATAAGACGGGAAAGCAGTAGTATACTGACAACAACGTACAACGTAGTGCTGCCACTACAATCACAATTAATGGTCATGCTATGATGGGCCTATTTGCTTGCCTGGACCAGCTGCACTGCCTGAACTACACAAAGGCTTTTTAGTGCATAGCTGATTTAAATTGAGGAATCTGATTGGTCCACACGAGGTACTTGATTTCCAGTAGTATACCTGGGGTAAACCGTGTTTTGAAAATGACAACATCATCTACAGAAACATGTAGGTTTATCGTCTACAAAATTTCTTTTTTAGTTTCAGGTATGCACAAAGAGACAAGAAGTCTGGGCCTAGCTATACGTAAGCGGCTGTACGCTAGCACTAGCGGTACGTAACGCCTGCGTATACGTGCGCGTAGAGTGGGAGTTGCCCTTTTCCTCGAAGCGCGGCGGATGACGAGTGAGTGCTGTAGCTTCCGCCTACCGTTTCTGGTGACTGAAACCTCGCTCGAGTCTCTGATCCATCACGTCTTCATGCTCATTCGAATTTTAGTTGCTTGGAAACGGGCGCTGTGCATGTGTGGATTTGTTTGCTCTGTACTAAACATGTTAGTTACTCCGTATATTTGGGAACTACGGGATTTCAATGAACCCTAGGGCAATCTGCGCAATGAATTTTATGTAGGTTCCAGCGTCTAGTGCAGATCATACACGTGAAGCATCAGTTTCGGTCGAGACTTGGCAGCAGCACGTGCCGAACGGAAGCCGTGTTCGGGTGAACAACTGTAAACGGCAAAAAAGTGGGCGGCGGTGCTTCTTAGGCAGCACACCGCAGCACGGTACGAGCCTTTAGCACAACGGCTTTTGTCGGTAAGTCCGGCAATATTCTCGGGCTAGGCTTACAGCAGGAGCTGGCTCAGTGCTCCTCTAGCTAGCTTTCAGCGGCATTGCCATACCCCTTTTCTTTTTCCCTCATGCGCATGCGCACAATTGCACACATACGCGTTCTTGACGCCTCTCTTAACGTCTTTTGTTTTATCATGATGTATATCATGTTTAAAATTTGTAGAAGTTGTAGGTTCCTTACCATGTTTTTCTGTTGAAATTGACCTTGTTTTCATGTTAGAATTGTAAGTTCCTTACCTTGTTCATTGTACATTCACATTCAAATATTTACCTGCAATATCCATTTGGCTGCTAACAATCTTGTTCCACCGCATCATGGATACTCTGGTTACGTCGGGCGACCTCCCTAACTACCGATCCGTAGAAGGAGGTGATGGGAGTACATGCGATGGCTGGACGGCACCTTTGCCTGGGCGTGGCTAGTGGTAGACCCGTCAAACCGCATTACGCCTTGCCACGCCCTGTCCGCTTATATGGATATGTGTCATTGCATGCCATGATAGCCCGTCTGGTATTGCCACGTCATAGGTGTGATGGCATTGCGCATGTACCACATCCGTCACACATCCAGCCCTCACACGTGATCACATTAGCTTTCGCGCTAATGGAGAACAATAACATACAATATAGGCAGGGGTACAGGGTGGGTGGGATAACTTTGCAGCCAAGCATCTGCTGTTGCCTGTTGCCAGAACTGCACCACGAGATTGAGCGCTGACTAAGCACCAAGTGCACGCATGCACTAACACTATGGTATTAAACTGCATTTAGTATTTACCCATTTGGCTTCTGACAATCTAGCCCCACTGCATCATGGATACTCTGGTTACGTCGGGCGACCTCCATAACTACCGATCTGTAGAAGGAGGTGATCGGAGTACATGCGAAGGCTGGATGGCACCTTCGCCTAGGCGTGGCTGGTTGTAGACCCGTCAAACCGGATTACGCCTTGCCACGCCCTGTCTGCTAATATGGATAGGTGTCATTCATTACCTAGCATGCCATGATAGTCTGTCTGGTATTACCACGTCGTAGGTGTGATGGCATTGCGCATGACCACATCCGTCACGCATCCAGCCCAAACACACATGTATACCACCCAGCATGCACTTGAACTCACAGCCATACACAAATACACTCTGGATAACAGCAGCCAGGCTCTCTCTCTGCGTTTGGATGTACCGTTCGTATGCCGAAGATTCCCAACGCCCCAACATCTTTATCGTGGCGTGGCTGAGGCCGGCACGAGCGGCAGTGGTGGCTGCACCCACCCGGAAGCTGTGTCGCGAGTAGTGGGCCATGTCTACCCCTGCATGGGACAGTGCACTCCGCACTGCGGCCACCAGTCTGTCCCTGGTCAGTGGAGAGCCATCTCTGACGACGAAGAATGGCCTGACTATGGCTGGGCGTATGGCGCAGTAGGCCAAGATAGCCGCCACTGGGCATAGGGCAGCATCGGTGCGGCCAAGGAAGATGTCTACCCCATGCCTTAAGGGGTCTGTCTTGCTCTGTTTCAGGTGCACTCGCACCATAGAGGGGTTGGTGTGGCTGTCCACTGCCACATCCTGGACTAAAAGACATGTCTGCTGGTCCACCTCTTGAGTTGACTTGATTGTGAATTCGCCGACACGTATAAACCCGAACAACCCCATGCAACAGGCTGCCCAGAGCATGATCGTGTCAGGTTCTACTGCCCTGGTTGCCCAGCATGTTTTGATGGCCTGTAGCAGAGATGGGTTAGGGGAAGGCGAGGGCGTGACGGAGGTCTGGGCGCACGTTTGATGCCTCTCACTGCGTATTGTGAAGAGGTCCCCATGGCCGGTCATGATGTGGAAGTAACGTATTGCTGACAAGTAGGCCTTGTGATGCCAGGTGGGCCATGAAGAGACATAGGAGGTTTTCAGTCTGTGGCAGAGGCTGGAGGCCTGCATCGGTGCAGAAGCGTAGGAACCGTCGCTGCCCAGAGGGTCGACGGCGCTAGGGACTGTGCATGGTAGCCAGAAACAGTGCTCTCCAAGTCGGGGAGAGCCAATCTGGTGACTGGAATAGCAGCAGCTCCTTGAGCGCTGGTTGCAGTGGCGATGGTTGCAGTGGCGATGGTGATGGGTTGGCCTGTGGTTGGCACTGAAAGAAAACAGTCAGGTTATCTCATGACAGCGCATCTGCCGCAGTATTCTCTACCCATGCTAAGTGCTTGGCCACAAGGCGAATGTCAAAATGTGCCAGGTAGAAGTGTAGACAGCGCAACAGGTGCATGAGCAAAGCATCTTTGGCCAAACCTGACGTGAGCAAGTTTGTGAAAGCTTGTCTGGGGGTAGGCTGAGCTGCATTGCCACAGAGTCAATCTGAATGCCTATGAAGGTTAGGCAAGTCGAAGGACCTTCCGTCTTATGCGCCGCTACAGGGATTCCAAGCCTCTGACACACTCGCAGGCCTGTCTGCAGGCTGGAGGCCCACTCATGGTTCGAGGCGGCACCAAAGAACCGGAAGTCGTTACTGTGCATGACCCAGGCCTGTGCATCAGCGAATGCTGAGAAGATTTTCGGTGCGGAACAAAGACCAAACGGCAGTGCTGTATCTAAATAGATGGCCGGGCCCCATCTTATCCGCCAGGAGCGGGTGGTCATCGGCATGGACTGGTAGAACCCTGTAGGCATTTTGCTGGTCCACCTTCGCCATTAGCGTGCTTGGGCCCAGGCGTCTGATTAGATATGCCGCGTCCAGCACTGATGCATAGTGCATATGTGCCACTTGGGGTCAGATGGCGTCATTGACACTGTGACCCTTTGGGAAGGATAAATCCACTATGAGTCGCCACCTGCCTGACTGATGTGGCTTAGGAATTAGCCCAATCGGACTGCAGTGGCACAGTGGGATGAGGTTCTCCGGGATGGGTCCCATTAGCCGCCCCTTCTCTATCTCTTCTGCAATATGGTCGTCCACTAGATCTGGGTGCTGAAGCACCGACGGAAAATTCCAGGGGCCTGGCCGGAGGGACAGGTATGCCCGATGTGCTCCGATATGGAAGCCGTGATGCATACCGGACTCGATGTAGTTAGCAAATGCTTTATCCGGATGTGCTACTAGTGCCTGCTGCCAGGCGACAACCACGAGGGGTGTGGCAGGCTGAAAAGACTGTGGTCCAGTGTGGGTGGCTGTTGCCTCCATCGTCCTGAGGTGAGACATGTACATATACTTGCTACTGCAGATATTTCCTACCTGGACCCAGCCTGGAAGTTATAGGATCACATAGGCTATATGAAGTGGGGGGATCACATATGCTATATGGAGTGGGGTCGGCTTTTATACGCTGGTATATAGTGGGAGGAGGGTTTCCCCCTTTAGATCTAATGCAGTAGGTATGGTAGTCCCAGTGATAGTGTATCAGTATAATATAGTGGTCCTTCTGAGTCTGAATGAGTCTAAGCCTGCATGCCACCTCCTCCCTGCGCTCTGAAGGGCCTGGGAGAGGAGCCAGAGGTCAGCTTATGGCGAGTCCAGTGGAGTCTCCTCGCACTCTTTGGCTCTATGCTTGCAAGTGGCTCAGATATACCGGAACGAGCAGGAGGGGAAAGAGCAGCGGCCGCGATTCCAGGAGATGCAGATCCTCTCTGCTGTCTCTGGGCGTATTGTCCTGCAGATTGGCCCGCCCTGCTGGGACTGACTCCCTGATGTGGATGGGAGAGAGGGCGGGGAAGCCTGCAATCCCACCAGAGCACAGTTTGGGCGCCATCATCTGGCTCGTGACACAACCCACAGCACTGACTGGTCCCGGAGCGGTAAGTCATGATGGTAGAGGCGTGTATGCTAGGGTTGAGCTCATTCCACTGCACCGACGGGTCCAGTGCTGAATGCTGCCGAAATATCTTATCATATTCCTGCCATCCCGGGCCCCCATGGCTCTGGGCCTCCCTGACCACCAGCCGCCCGTAGGTGAGGAGGTTGCGCTTCTTGGCATCAGAGGTGAGCACTGCCATGTATGCCAGGAAACACGACACCCTGGTCAGAGGGGACTGGATCTCCCACAGCTGTGGCTTTGCAAGGCCTGCGTAGATGTTGTGTGGCCCTGGGAGCGCCTCCAACTGCGTGCAGAGGGACATGTTGTCCGCTAGGTGATCTTTCATCGGCACGTACTGGCCTGACTTGATCTTGCCCACCACATTGGCTGACAGTGGGGGCAGCTCCGAGCTCCGAAGACAGGACAATGGCCTGGTCTCCACTTACAGATGCCGAGGTCACAGGTGTGTCTTTGCCTCCGGCACCGGAGGGCAGTGTTGCCGTCAGCGGGAGCGGGTTTGCCACGGGGAATGTTGGTGGGCACTGTGGGAAGGGCAGTAGGGCCAGGAGTGACACCCAGGGCTGCGGGAGGGGAGGAGGGTGGTTAAATCGACACAGAGCACTGCCCGCATGGTACAGTACATAACCCCCTATTAGCAGGGACTGGGGCATGTGCTGTGTGCATGGGTGGGGGGATGTGACCGCTTGCACAGTTAGTGGCTAGGCTGGGCCACCCTAGTCGTGACCTCGTGCCCCCCTGTGCGGTGCTGGCTGTGGCGGTCTTGGGCCCTGACCTAGGCAGTGTGTGCACAGTGCCCTGACCTGGGGCCCTGTCCTTTATGGTGCTGGCTACCCTGCCCTGGGCAGTACTAATTGCCAGCGCGGGAGCCTTGACCTGGCCGTGCTGATGCCCTGACCTGCATAGTGTTGGGTGTCCTGTGAGGTTTCCGGATACAGCCGGCTGGGTACACGCCCTGCGCAGCTGCTGAGCAGACTGCATGCCCATGGGACCAGACCTGCCCAGGCTGAGCAGCGTTGCACCTGGTGCTGCCAGAAATTACGAGCCAGACCCATGCACTGGGGCATGTCTCGATGTTGGCATAAGGCAGGCCGCCACTGCCTTGCATCAGGCGCTTATCCGGCACTGAGTGGGCATACTCTAACTTACCAAATAGCACCGTTCAAGTTGGATGTGCCTGGGCCTCCCTGCCCGAGAACCACTGGGTCGAGGGGTAGAACAGCCCAATGCGGCCTGCAGCTCTTGTTGCACGGTGGACCGTAACGCGGCAACCAGGACCGAGCTTTCCGCTGATGCGGCGACTGTCTTGTAGCGCCCGCTGTTGCTGCCGATGTGACGGTGCTCTGTGTAGTCGGTGGCTGATCGGGATGGAGACTACAGGGGGACTCTACAGAATGCTAGACAGATGACATTAGGCTGCGTGTTGCTAGACTGAAAACACTTGCAGGGTGACTCTGAGAATTCTAACCCAGACCGGCCCCTGGCACTTTATATTTTGAACAATATTATACTCAGTCTGTATTTAGTTTGTGATTGTAGTGTGAATTGCATTCTCAGTATTATATAGCCTCCTTTAAAAATATTTACCACCACTGGAACAGTTAATTTATGATCTAGGTTTTTGTCAGCATCTAAATTTCACTGATGATCCTCTGCTTGTCGTGTCTTTTGTAACTATAATGTCATACCTTGTCCTGTGTCTTATTTCAGATCTGATGTGGATGAAATCATAAGCAACTTCACATTTATGACTTTGCCAGGTATATAACAATAGGGTTATTGAGCACCATGCCCATACATTAGAAAGTTCAGTCTTTCAGTTTCAACCACACTCACCTTTATCTGATCTCTGTAGTAAACATCTGCCTGTATTGTGTATTTAAGATATGGTGTAATTGACATAGCTCAAAATATTACCTTCAGTTTTTCCCTTATCTCAACACCAGATGAGGTATGGGGATGAAACTTTGCAGCATGTTTAACAGGCAATTACTCTGCCTTTGCTTATGCTGGGTCCTGTAGCAATGAAATTTTGTACCCTGATCTACTACAAATTACAAGTTAGTAAGCAACATATTACTCTCAGGCAATAATAATGTAAGAATAGTCCTACTGCACACCATTAAAACGTAAAAGAGACTGCTCAACATAGCTATATGAACTTGCTCTCACACCTGTTCCACCTATATTATCGCCACTTCATTACAGACTCATGAAGTGGCGTACCCTCTCTTCTATAACTTACAAAGAAGTAAGGGAATGTATAGCAACTATGAAGTCTTTGCTGCAACCAGAGCTGGTACAGTGAGCTAAAACCCCTATGCGTTTTACAGGAGTTAAAGCTGTGGTCTAACATAAAAATATCTTATCAGGAACAAAAGGGCTTCTGTTTGTACATGTAGCCCAAATTCAACGTACTACTAAATCATCCTGGTCTTGTCTTAGTGCTAATTAATTTGTTACTGTTATGGTATCTTTTTTAGGTAGTCATAGACTCAGGTTGCAGTGTATTTTGTGAGAGATTTTTTTATTAGGAGTGTAGCGCATTGGAGTACTTACGTACACACTGAAAGTATTAGATTGCAAACCTTATTCCTAGTTTGTATCACATGTGGCTTGTTGCTATCTCTCTTGCTATCTCTCTTTAGGCCACCAAAACTTTGCTTTGCGATTAAATTTTCATTGGTAGTTTAAAACATAATACGACGAAGAAATGCGTTGTAGCATAAACCCCAAGAACTGCTGTAAAATAATTATCTGGGCATAACTCTTTCAGTCACAGATTCGGCTTCTGTGCGTGTGATCAGTATTTTCGGCCGACTCCCCTACGCGCACGCGTCATTCTGCCCATATTGACACACCCACTTTCATGCCACGCACGCACCCTATGGTGATCTCTCTCCCGGCCATTTCGCAGACCTACGCACAGCCTCTGTACCTGCCTATCAGTCTGCTGAGGCATTTATGACATGTCTCGCTCAATATGGACCTTTTTGCTTTTTTGAAGTACTGAAATGGTAGATGAAAGAAACATCAAAGGTCTGACCACCACATCCAAGTGCCAACTGACCGCTTCTGAGGATGTGTGAATGGGTTTTATGAGATAATGCCGCCATACTGCCTGCCTACTGGGTCAAAGTTCACAATTGTGCGAGTTTTTGTTGACGTTTTTAGAAGTGTATAAATTTACAACATTTTGTGACTGAAAGGTATATAGGTCATTAGTATGTCTGTTTTCAGCTACAGATGTTTTCGCAGCTGGACAAAAACTGCTTTTTGTCTTTGATATTGAAACAGATAGAAAGGTATTTTTTGTATTTGAATATTGAACCTATTTTCATCATGGGGATATTTTGTATCCTTTTAGAGACTTGTCAACTTCTGCAGATTGATTTTGGCTGGAATGGAGACCAATAGTGTGAAGGTATAGTATTGTTCTACCCTTGTGGAAACATACTCTGTGTGCATCGGTCGTAGTGCTTCTCTGTTTGTTGAATTGATACTCTAATAGATGACCTGTTCCTCGTCAGAGGAGTGCGACACGGAATAATGACGTAATCGTTTTGCTGACTCAGCTCTGTTTTACATGTGGTCCTCCGGATGGCTGTTTTTGTCTCTTTTAACTTAATGTAGGTGGCAGACATGGCCGTGTTTCTTTTAGATTTGTAGGCAAGCAACATTTGGTTAGCGAAGTAAGTCATAAATGAATTATCCACACTCTTTTATGGTAATTGGCGAGCGGGAGCGAGCTAACCTAGTGGTCTGAACGGTGCGATTTTTTACATATACTTCCGTACACCATGCTGCTGTGCATGTGTCAGCTTGTTCTTAACCGAAATGACATCAAAATGTTTACACGCTGCCTGTTTATGTCGATGCGAATCTAGCCAGAGCTATCGTCCATTCAGCGCCATTCGCTGCACTCTTCGATGCCTGGCCGAGGCTGTACCTCTTGCCAATGTTCGTGGTTCGAAGGTGCAAGTTGTAAATCGGATAGTATGGCTCGTGCAGATATAGTCATTGTGTGGTTGCTCCCGCTCGCCATGCATTTGCCTACTAGTTAATGGGTAATTACGGTTAAAGCGGAAGTAGGAGGGCAAGCACGCGCATATAATCAGACGGGCCGGGCAACAGTACAGTTGATTACGCGTGCGTTTGAAGATTGTGTGATGCGTGTCAAGACGCAGTATCGCGCATTGTGGGTTGCGGACATTCAAGATTGCGGAAGTTCGAAATGTTTTGTTGGCCAGGAAGAAAGGCAGCATATTCATCTGACCTAAGATGGTTTGGTGGAGAATAACCATGGATCTTTAAAGCTACAGTAGTTGATAGCATGCTGGAGTCGATACATGCTATTCGTTGTGACTTCCTGAGCCCCCAAGGTACAATAGCGCAAAATTTGAGTGTCTCCATTGGAACTGTGTGCAATGTCTGTAAGTTATTTGAACAAACTGGTCGTGTAGATCCGAGTAAACAAGATCACTCTACAATGAGACAAATGTTTGATTGAGGTGCTAGTCATTGGACTTGTACTTCAAAACCCCAGTTTGTATCTGGGAGAGATATGCCATATTGGCATTACCCCTTCAACCATCTGCCGTATGGTTCACAGACATCGTTTGACTAGGGAAAAATACAACAGGATGCAGCACAGGGGCGATATCATGGCTGAAATTTATTCTTCAATACTGTCCAACTGGTGGGGCTTGATGAAACTGGCTGTGATAAACGAGACTATATATGGACGATGGGACATGCAGTGAAAGGTGACCTCCCAGTCTATCACCGTATTTTACACAGAGGACAGAGTAGCAGCAATGTGCTCCGAAGGTGTTATTTACCCTCGGCGTGCATGTGCAGCGAGGGTTACAGTACTTGCGTCTGTCTGCCTATTCGTCTGTCTGTCTGTCTGTTGCCACGTTTTGTGCCACCACGCGCAAGAACCCGGCCAAATAGCGATAGTAACTGGTTCAGCGCTACACTGGCTTGATTTTAAAAGAAGGCGATTTTCATGAAAAGACTGCATTTTAAAGGTATGGCATGAAAACAAAGTCAACAAGCCAATATGCTAATTAGCACAGGCTTACCTCGACCGGGTCCGCTTGCTCTGTGTATCTTGAAGGCACAAGAAGTCACAACAAAGGGCGTGTATCGACTCCCACATGCTATCTATTACTGTCTGCCTGTTCGTCTGTCTGTCTCTCTGTCTGTCTGTTGCCACGTTTTGTGCCACCACGTGCAAGAACCCGGCCAAATAGCGATAGTAACTGGTTCAGCGCTACACTGGCTTGATTTTAAAAGAAGGCGATTTTCATGAAACGACTGCATATTAAAGGTATGGCATGAAAACCAAGTCAACAAGCCAATATGCTAATTAGCACAGGCTTACCTCGACCGGGTCCGCTTGCTCTGTGTATCTTGAAGGCACAAGAAGTCACAACAAAGGGCGTGTATCGACTCCCACATGCTATCTATTACTGTAGCTAGCCCGTGTCGGACTCTCCTCGAGCTACTAGCAGGAGACAACGAGTAAACGCATACTACTAATAGCCCAGCCCATCAATTAGCGGTACCGCACAAGCTTAGTTCGCCGAGGGTTCGCACTTTAGTGCTTTTCATTGCACTTGAACTGCAAAAGGGAACTTATAATGGAGATATGTTGGTGGAGTTCCTCACATGCACTATGATACCACAAATGTGTCAGTTTGATGGCAGTAGTCCAAGGTCGGTGTTAGTTATGGACAACTCTGCAATTCATCATGTGTCACCGGCACTAAAAATGCTCTCTGATGCAGAAATCTTGGTTCAGTTTCTGCCACCATGCACCCCTGATTTAGAGGAGCTTTTTAGCTATGTCAAATATTACCATAAAGAGCATGATGGAATTCTTCAGGCTGTCAGTGATTCAAAACCATTTATTAAGGCTGCCTTTAGTAGTGTGACCATTCAGGATTGCCTCATCGTAGTGGATACTACAATAGCTAAATTATCTATTTTTGCATCATATTTTTTAATGTCCGAGCCCTTCACCGACACAACACCTAGTTTGTGCCACTTAGCTAGTTGGTCGAGCAACTCACTCCTTACAGACACTCATTTTGAAGTAGATGTGCTAGGAGAAACGACAGCAGGCACTGCAGTCGTCTTAACTGGTTCCGACTTTGACGCCGTCTGTTGATGTTTACGTCCACACCAAAATGGTTTGTCCGGTGGCTCATCAAGTGAGTCATGCTTCCCTAAACGAACCATGTGGGCCCACATCCTTAGCTGCTCAGGTGTATAATTTGAACTATGCTTCTTCAGTTCGTAATGTATTCGTTAACTTCAACCAAACTGCTCTTATGTCCCTCAAAACTTGATTCACACTTCTACACCTCTTACAAGAAACTTTCTTTCTCTCTCACCCTTTTCTCACTCTCTCTTAACTGCTCTGACAACTTCGAATTTGCCCATAATCATCTCCCGGCATGCTTAGCATACACATCATCATGATTGTTGAGCCACTGATTTCCCCCTTTCACTCCGTGTCCTGGCTCATGGTACCCCGAATCAACAGAAGAAAAGTCAGGCAGTTCACTAATAACTTTTTCAGTCAGCAACAACCTCAAATCATCAAGAGTTTCACTTGTTTCCACTTGCAGATGCAGACATTCTTGAACTCACTCATTTGACTCGGATTCACATCTTAACCAAACACTACCCCATTATAATCTTGAATATCAGCTTCTACTCTACTCTGTAAATAGCTACGTCACTGCGCTTACTTGGGTATCAGCAGAGACAGAGCCCTCAGTTGCTGTAACAGACACATCCTTTCTAGGAGCTTGAAATAGGCCAAGTCGGCCTCCCAGCTGCGTCCACGCATGCTGGCCCCGGCCTGCAGCCGTTGAACCTGATGGCCCAGCAGGCCGCGCAGCAGCAAGCCGCGGTTCGAGTTCTAGCGCACTACGCTCTCTCGTCGGCCGTGTCTTCCACTGCTTACGCCACAGCCCCTCGCCCTTTTCCGTCAACTACCACTGCATTCCAGCCACATCCCTCTTGTTGGCTCCACGCTAACTCTCCTACTGCAGCTGGGATCCATGGCAGCCCCGCAGTCTTCTGGCTCCAGTGCCACCACTACAACCTCACTGTTATGGGTTTACCAGCCTCCCGCTCTCCCCCCAGCAGATACCTGGACTGGCAGCAGCTCCCCTGTGGCTCCACCCACTCATACCTTCATGGCCCATCCCATCCAGACCCCAGCAGCAGTACCCCTGCCCACCTACCCTCCCCTCCCTCGGATGGCTCTGAACAGCCGCTCCATCCCCACCATACCGGCCAAGTTTGCTACCATAGCGACCTCTGGTGAGTTTGTGGACTTTAATGGGCTGCTGCATGCCCTAGAGTCAGAGGGTATGGAGGAGACCCCTGTCCAAATTGAGCTTGGGAGGACAATAGGCTTTCCCTCCCCAGGAAACCAAAGAAGAGACAGGTCTCCTCCTTTATCGAGTGGGCAAGGTGCTTTGCTGTCTACTCGCACTACCTGTCCTCCCACTAGCCACAGCTGTCGACCGACCTCATAGCGTACCTTTACCTCATCGCCACATGCCATGGAGAGTATAATTTTTCTGCATGCATGTTGCCTTCAGGAGGAAGGCAGCTAGGTTTCGCCTGGCCTCCTGGGACCAGACTTACACGAAGGCCTTCACAGGGTTAGGCAAAGCCCGCCTCAGGGCCTGGTGTGACCACTGCCTCGCCTCCTCCCACTCTTCCGCTGACTGTCATCTTTTTTCCTCTGGTGGGCCAGCCAAGAAAGCCAGGGTCACTACGGCTGGCCCAAAGCACAACACACAGACCCAGGCAAAGGAGATCTGCCGCAACTACAACTGGGAGAGGTGCTCCTGGGACGACTGCCCTCGCCGTCAAGTGTGCCTCACCTCCGGTTGTCACTGGTCACACCCAGTCACCTCCTGCCCCACCAAGAGATCTTCTCCTAGGACGCGGTGACTTCTCTGAGGACTCACCTCTCCACCATCTCCCCCACCACTTCCTACCTTATTCCCTCCCTCATACCTTATCACTTCACCCCACCAACATCAAGGTCTTTCAGCCCTTTCTCTCCCTCTTCAACACCTCCCACCTCTTCCCCTACTGCCGCCTCACTGTCCCATACCTCACCTCTTCCAGCTTCCCTCCTTACAGGTCACCCTAATAGTGACGTCCCCTGGGGATTCAAGGTCGGATACACAGGCCCACAGTATCCATGCCCTTCCTCCAATCTGCGCTCAGCCCGGCCACAAGTCATTGACAAATACTTGGAGGCCGAATGTCAAGTAGGGCACACTCTTGGCCCCTTCCCCTCTCCCCCTTTACCCAACATCGGCGCCGTTCCCAGGAGAAGGTTAGGGATATGGTGCCTGATTATGCACCTTTCCTACCACAATGCTGCAGAATACGTATATCCTATTATGCCAGGCGATGCAATTTCAATTATTCTTGTTATCGTTGAACTGAATAGTAGTGCTTATTGTACTGCAACACTAATGAACATTTAATATAGTCCTGTAGTGAATTTTCTTCACCAAACGAATTCTGCAAAAGGGAGAAAACTCTCTCTGCCACTGCAGACGATGGGTGTAGTAGAAGGATCTTCCTAGCAGCTTCGGCCCAGTTAGGAAGGTCACTGGCATTCCTCTTCCACCACTCAATAGGGGAGATGGTAGCACTTGTGTCGGCTACACGAGCTAGACACTGTGGGAGTTCCTCTTTCAGATAATTATTGACCTCACTACTGAAGAGAGGAATGGAAGCAAGAGACTATTCTACCATAGCTGCATCCGGTTGAAGGAGATACACTTTCTGTGGTGAAAACAGTGTTGCACCTTTGAATGCTGGCAGTGAAGCCGCCATGCTGTTTTGTAACTGCCTCTGAAAATACTCAAGCCCTGGTTGTGCCAAGCTCTTGGCATATGCTACCAATGTCTGGCAGCGCACGTCTGTCGATGGTGCACCTGATAACCGTCGTGCTACTGCTTGCCCATTTGGATATGCAAGGAAACTTTCTGAATAGCTTCATAGCACTCCAGTGCCAGTGGGCCATCTCCTTCGAGAAAGTATGTCGCCTTCACGAACTGCTTGCCCCAGTCTACCGTCGCAGCTGTCTCAATTTGGAGGAGGCCTAGCTTTTGTTGATCATCAAAGAAGGGCAGGACTGATGTCTTCATTCTGACGTCAAAATGGAGCATAACCATCTTTACCACCTCCCACTTGCTCCACCACTTTGTTTTACTGTAGGAGGGCATGCTGCGCCCTACCGGTTCCTTCCACAACAGCTTCGTTTTGGGGCTGTGGCTGAAGAGGGTGATCCATGAATGCATGAAACCTGTAAGCGCCGGAGTCTTGAAATTCTCTCCCACATGACTCAATGTGTCGGAATAGCAGCCTATGTCCATAAGCAGGGGTACACCACGTTCACTGTCTGCATTGCCAAGTTGTTGACTGATGCACGATCCCTCATAGAAACAAGGAGGAACTCCGACCGTATCCCATACGTCACCTATGAGCTCTATTGCAATTTCTTGGCCTGCCATGGACTTGGACAACAGCTGTATGCGAATCAAGTGCTGCTCCAATGTCCACCCTTATCCAACAAAATGAACGATGACTGCTAAAGCCTCACCCAATCAAGAAGTTCCATCGAAATAAAAGAAAGATGTTTGCCAGTGACTTCATTTTAGATACGTGCTTCTTGCTCCTTCAAAATAAATTGCACACGGTTGAACATGTGTCGGCGGTCAGTAAGAACGGTAGGCATTTTCTTCGTGAATGTCCCTAACTTTGGTGGAGGGATTCCTGCTCGAAGTAGTGCTGTAACCACTATCACACGATACACTTGTTGCTGCGTTGGGAGGGTCTCTCCCCGCAAATTATTGTCTTGCCAAAGCATCTGCGATGACTTCTTCTTGTTTCAATTTATCTTTTAACGCTTTCTTGCCGTTCTCGTGCTTCTGCAATCGAATGTGGTTTTGGATCATGCTTCTCCATGCTGAGCAGAATAATTTACCGCCAGAAACATTTAACTGCTCAATGAGAAAGTCCTTGAGCCGCTTACTTGGCTCAATAGTCTTGGGATCAGAACTGGAGTTTCCCCTACACAGACAGTAGGAGGATTGGTCTCCATTTGACGCTTTCTGGAAATAGCAGCAGGTGTCAGCGAAGGTGGGTGCCCTGAGATAGAAATACCCCTGCAGCATGTCTCCTCAGAGGTCAGTGAGCTGGTGCTGCTAGTGCTACGACTGCTCCCTGGTGGCCATCGCTGTCTAGCTCTGTTTCTGTCAGCGAACATGTCACGTGTTCACTACGGTTTTGTTCCCAGATCTGGGAACGAGACCGCGTACATACTTACTATGCTAGTATTTGGCAGTATTTCTCCGTTTATTCCTGCATTATGCTCCACTCTGCAGAACGCCCATCATACCGGAAACTATGCCCGCGTAATAGCCGCATCCCTACAAATATCTCAGACACACCCACAGACCCAAGTTATCAAGCTCTACCTCTCCATCGTCTGCATGCTACACCCTGAACATGGTCTGCAAGGCCCAACATCGGACGCGGTTAAACTTCGACACCTGATGCGTGGCATCTAGCGGGTACATGGCAACACCACCGACTCCCGGCTTCCTATCACCCCTTCCCTCTTACGCTCATTTCGCTCCTTCCTACCCTGACCACCTAACATTTTGGGCCGCCATACTACTTGCCTTCTTCACCTTCCTCCGCTGTGGCGAGCTCCTCTCACTCCACCGCAGTGACATGCGCAGGACAACGGACGAGTACCAGAAACAGTCGAAGGCAGATCCGTTCCGCTCTGGAGCTGCTGCACCTTACTATAATTCAGAGTCAAGTAAGCTCCATATAGCCAGACCCTAAATGTCTGGGGCAGCACCTATCTAACAACTTATACCCCTCCCTATACATGCCTATGGCTTTTGAGGTGACCCGTCCCTTTGTGCAGTCACTGCCCTGGATTCCTACCTAACGACCCAGGGCCGCCTACAGACAGCACAAGCCAGAGACTCAACCACCTGATCAGTGACCTAGCCTCGCGGTGTGGTGTCGAGCCACAGCAGTACTCATCCCACTCCTCCCGCATCGGAGCTGCCTCAGCCGCAGCCGCAGCTGGCATCCCAGACTGTAGGATCCAAGCCTTTGGCCGCTGGTGCAGTGACGTCTACCGGCGTTATATCCGCCTACCAGTCCAACAGCATTGCAGCAGCCCTCCACTATAATTCACAGTTGAGTAAGCTCCCTATAACCAGACCCTGAATGTTTGGGGTAGCACCTATCTAACAACCTATACCCCTCCCTAAACATGCCTATGGCCTTTCAGGGACAGCCTCTGCTCGTCTTCAGAGTGGCACGCAGACTGTGACCTGGAACAAGACGCACTCCCTCCTCTTCTCCGGAGTTGTGGCACCCAGATTGTCACCTGGAACGAGACGCATTTCGCCGCGCCTGTCCTCTTGCAGTATAACGACGTCTCCAACCTGCATATTTCTCACTGACTGTTGCCACTTCGTCAGACGTCTGAGGGTGGCGATGTATTCAGTAGACCACCGCTTCCAAAAATGGCGACTGACAGACTTGCTAACGAAGAAGCTGAGAGATAGAGCGGTAAAGAGAGAGACGTGTCAGATTGTAACGGCTTCCAAATCAGGTAATGTCCAGGTGTAAGAGCTTCGACGCTGTCAGGATCACGGGGCAATGACGTGAGCGGACGACTATTGAGACAGGCTTCCACTTGAGTTAAAATGGTGGTGAGCTCTTCAAATGTTAGTTTGGTATCGGCGATAACACGTCTAAGGTGATACTTTAGGCTTTTGACTGCTGCCTCCCATAGGCCACCAAAGTGTGAAGCGCATTCTGGCATGAATTTCCATACAATGCTTTGCGTAGAACAGAATTCTGATATGGCTCCTTGGACCACTTGTTCCTGCAGGAAGAGAATGAATTTCTTGATCTCTCGAGCTGCACCAGCGAAGTTGGTACCATGATCACTCCAGGTTGTCGATGGTTTTCCACAGCGAGCAATGATAGTGTGGCTATGAATGCGTCGGTAGTGAGGTCAGAAACCAACTCTAGGTGAACAGCCTTGACAGACAAGGAGACCAACACACAAATGTAGGCTTTGATGATTGTGGGGTTGCGTACGTGCCCATATTTTAGGTAGACTGGGCCCGCGTAGTCAACACTGACATTTTCAAAGACTAGACCAGGCATCAGGCGCTCCGTAGGCAATTGACTTAGGATCTGAGATTGCAGAAGCATGTCGACACACAATGCAACTGCGTGTGACCGAATGTACTGCCTCATGTGCTCCAACGATGTCGTAGCGACGACTCAATGATGAATTGACGAGGGTGTGTCCAGCATGAAGTAGATGCAGGTGTTTCGAGTAGATGATTAGCTTGGTGATCTTGTGCTTGCCATGGAGAATTTCTGTGTGGCATATTGAGTAGTATAACTGGGCGTTTTCAAGCCAATGTGAAGTAGACCAGATTGATCCAGGATTGGACGTAGACTGAGAAGACAGCTGGACCTTGGCAGTGCACAGCCTGCGAGTCAGATGTGTGTGTTGCTGTACGCAGGAGCTTCTTGACTTGTAGCGGGAAGTCGAAAATCTTTCCTTCCAGGTTTCCCTGTAAGTGTCATCGTCGTCGTGATCAATTGACAGGAGACTATTTCGCACGTCAGCTAGCTCTTTCTTGCAGTGGGTGAGTTCCTCTTCATACTGATGTAGGAGACAGACATCCATTGAGCCATCACTAGAAGCAATTGCTGTTCCGATAGAGGTTGTGGTCTTTGCAGGTGTGATAGTCTTCGTGAGGAGACCTTGCGAGATGAGTGATCAGAGGATGGCGTGCAGGCGCTAATAAGTCGACGTATGCGAGCAGAGAGTTCAGCTACAGAATCATCATGACCATCTAGCATACCTTGTTCCTCTGAGAGCGCCCCTTCATCGTCGATGAGGTCGACAAGGGCGTGGTGATGAGTTCTGAAGTCGTTATCAAGTGTCTCCAACTTTTGTGCCATTCCTTGAGCGAGGTTTAGTGCGTCGGTTTGTCCGTGTCGCTCTCCAGTTCCTTCAGTCGGTTCGCTAGGTGAGTAATCGAGGCTCATGCAATGCCTCTCCGCTTCTTGAGGGTGGTCAAGTCGCTCATAGTTGACGGGCGGTTTGAATCGACAAAGACAATGCGTGACACGTGGTCGTAGAAGTGGCGTTGCTATGAACGAAGGTGAGACGATGTCCGAGAAAAACCCAGCCACTGGTCGCTGGTTCGACTCGTATCCGGCTCGAAGGACCAAAAATGTTTGAGGTCTTTCTCGATCACAGTGGATTATGAGCGCTACTTGCGAGAGGCAAAAACGACCACCATTTTCTCAAACTCTGATAGCGACGCTCTAATTCAACACATGAAAATTTGAAACGAGTAAGTATGGCGACATAACACTCGGCACCTGACCGGCCTTAGGCATTCCCCTCGCTCCCTGCTCTGCCACTCAGCCTGGTACCTGGAGCCGAGACACACTAAACACCGTGCCCAGCACCGCCATCCTAGATGGCACCTGGCCGGTCACAGACCTGCCCTTACAGGTTGGGTTCGGCGAAACAAGTGGAATAGGTTTGCCTCACATGAAAACTGAACAGCTCACGATATATAGGAAGAAAGAAAGAAAACAGGACTTCAGAAGGGCTACAATTAACACACATATAACCATAAGGGCTTACTTGGGACTTTCAAACGCGTAAGCTGATGCACGATGGCAGTGAAATGACTACAACAGGCAGAGACGGTATGGACACAGGCGGTATAAAAGTTATCAAAGGGTATCAAAATAATCTGCAATGTATAAATAAAGAATAACATCCATAGGAACACATCAGCACAAAAAGAACATAATATATGAGGTAAAACAGTAGTGTAGGGCAGTACCATTATAGAGGTCAGCTAGTAAGACCTAGGCATAGAAAGGTGCCCAGCCTTGAGAACCAGGGATGGTGGGTTAAAGAATGTTTTATCACCGGTGAACTCTCCCCACTCACCCAGGCCTTTCTCACAGTGATACTTCCCACGGAGTAGTAAAATCACCGAAAACACACCTCAATATCGACGACAGCACAAAAACAGAATGGCAGAGAGAGACGAAAAACAAGCAATATATAACGCAGGCCAGCAGGAAGCAAAGCACAGTGAGATCCTTCCTCTAAAGGGCCAGCTAGAATTTACAAATGACGTCGTCGTGTGGTTACATGTCTGTACAAGGATGGTCGTCCAATATACAGGCCACATTTGCCTTCACTATCATGCGAATGACTGTTTTAACTCACGAACAAAACTTTGTTCGCCAAAGTTTGACTAATGGTGTAAAACTATTGCTAGTAAGTTTAGCTACTAACCGTCTGTAAACTGTCTTTTTAGTTAACCCTCGGCGCGCATGCGCAGTGGGGGGTTACGACCCTTTGGGCGCCATTTACATATATATATGCACAGAGCCTCCATAAGTGCATAAGAATTTATATATGGCTATAATACTAGGCGCTAATATGTTATACATCAATTTCTGCTTATTTAAGGAGACACCTATGGCGCCCAAAGAAGTACTTGGTTCATTAATTGTCATTGCCCACCACTTTTTAATGATGTCATAAAGTATAAACTTGTGGTTGAAGAGGTCACTTTTGTAGTGGGAGGAAAGTAGTGCCTTGGAGTCTACATAGCTGCAATAATCTGTGCACTTAGCGCCATTTTTTAGGTTAAGTAAAACTGTTATCATTTTGTCTGTATGACCTCCATACAGATGTGGTATGTATCACTGTCACTGAACAAGTACTACGCAGTAGAGTGGATGAAACAGACAAAGAAATTGGTCGCTCTGTCATGCTCTGGATTAAAGATTGTGAAGGTACAAACCATGCATTTACTGTATGTCGCATTTCAGTTTGTGTTTGTCTCTGATTATAATCTGGCACTAGGGTGCTTATGAGCGATTCCAACGTCTTCAGAGCTAAGAGGGCATAATAAAGAACAATTTTCCCTGAAACATCTGCGTTCAAGAGAGTAATATACATAATTAGCACAGGCTTATCTGAAGCCTTTAGGAACAGGCCCTGGATGAAATCCCGCGAAGTTCGCGCACACGCTCTGTGACATAATTGCTGAATCAACGTTCGTTCACAACGTCACATTTGGCCAAAAGTGATTGCTTTTACAGAGATGGGCTTGTTTTTCCACAACGCCTAGCAGTGAGCTAAAATATACTTTGTACGTTGATGGTAGATTTATTTGA